CAGTTACAAAAGCATGTTTTCCTCTTCCTGTAAAAAAGGAAAAAATATAATTTCATAGATTTTTCAAGTGTGGAGAAAAAGTGAAAACAAATTATTGTCATTTAATTTATTACCCATAAAGAAAGTAGTTAATTTAAGACATTTACTGATAATTATCAGGGTGATGAATTTTTCAGGTTGATGTTAGGAAAGCTTGGAGTTTTTGTTAAAAATAAATAAATAAATTAACTCAAGGAGATATTTTCTTTATATATGTATGCTGTATACATGCTATATCAGTGCATCCTATGTGTATTACTGGTCTTGAAGAATACCTGTGACAGAATTTTGTTGTAATATTTTAATTAATGATGTAGATTTTTTGCGGTTGCTCCAACTTTTCTGCATTTAAAGATTATATGAAACATCCTTTAAGCAGTTACCCCCGTTTCTACCAGCAGTCCTAAATGTGGTGAATTCAGACAGGTTAATTTACGATAGAATATGTGGTTATTTATTTATTCGTGTGTTTTTTGTATTGTGTTATTATTTCATGAACGTGTTTGACACCCACATCCTCTCGTGGCATTTTTCTTCGTTCCGTGTTGACTTCTTCTTCTTCTTGCGCTGATGTGGCAGTTTTGTCTAAATGGCGACGCCTGTCGGTCAGACCGTGCAACAGCATCCTTAGCACTGGTAGAAGCCGTGGCGACGTCACTGTTTGCGAACAACAATGCTGCGGGTATAGATGCGACTAAGAGGAAGTGCAAACAACCAAAGCAGAGGAAACCACTGCATGTGAGATCCGCTGATTAGTTTCTTCACACCGTTCGGAGTCCTTAAAGATCCATTACAGCCGCTGGGAGCGGACACTGGAATTACACCGAGCTTTAGTTTCATCCGCATCCCTTGTCTGTATCAGAGGAAACCATCATCTGCGCCCCCGGTGACCCAGAAACGAAGCAGTCGTGTGACAGATGGAGAAACAGGCCGGAGGTGCCGGCGCTGGGGACGGTGCAGGGGCGAACAGAAAGCCGTGGGGCTCGCCGACTTGCGGCGCGGCAGCCGGTGATACCCTGGACAGGTAAGCAGGCTCGCTAACGAGAAAACGTGACGTCGATGCCCAGCTTGTTACTTATGCTCGTCTCGCTTTCCCACTGAACACCAGCAACATGAAATATTAGTAGTAGATCACACCTTCATCTCGGCATCGATCCACAGACCAGTGCTTGGGTCAAACTTTCCAACGTGACAAAACACTCATCACGGATGTAGTGTGTTAGCATTTCATCTCAGTGTTATTTGGAACCACAACATACAACACAGAATACGGTCACGTGATTAACACAGCATATAGGAAATGCACAGGAATGAGGCGGAATATGGCCACCCAGCCGAGTTACGCATCCGTATCTGCCGCTCAGAGGAAGCGACGTGCAGCGCAGCCACCTGAGGGAGAGATGACGTGGTGACAGAAATGTTACAATGTTGCTCCTGTTAAAACAATGCCGACACTGAAACGTGGGGTTGTGTTGTGCTGGGTAGGAACCATGTTCTTTATGTAGTCTGTATGCTGATCCCCCCATTATAGTACTAAAACTGGAGGAAGCGTCACACAGTCGTAACTCCTCCCCCTCAACATTCCAAGACATTCACACCACAAAGCTGCTCCAATCCAGACTGAGTCTGTCAGAGACACTGGCTTATCTTCTGCCACTGACAAGCTTCATATGATATATTGTTCTCGGCTTGATATTCAGGACTGTCCTGGACACCGACCGTATGTCTCCATCACTCAGACAACCGCTGTCAAAGCTCAGGGACAGGACGTTGTACTGTCTGGCTCAGGAGTGGGAGACAAATCCATACAGCAAAGTATCATCAAATTTTGCATCCAAAAATCAACATTTTATTAAATAAATGAAAAGACTCTGTGAATACTACAAAAGTCTGACTCAGACTGACTGAAATCACAATGCAGTTTATATCAGAGACAGATTGCATATAATTGGCAACTTCACCCCGTACAGTTGCAGGCTGGTGTCAGTCTGACACACTCAGACTCAGTCCAGCAACATTTCTGGCAGCTTTTAGTGGCAGTCTTGGTTTTCTTAGCAATCATCATTTGCAGTTGAAATAATATTAGAGTTCTGCATTAATAACATTGTTACTACACAGGGGTTCTGCTCTTTGAGCTGGGGAACGTTCTCATCTGTAACATGTGGTCAGCTGAACATCGTCCTCACTGACAGAGGACGTTTATCTGTTTAACACATGCATCTTACAGTGATGATGTTAAACGTGAATATAGCCGAATATACGTCAGTTCACTGTTTCACTCTGTGTTCAGTCCAACAGGTTCTCACGTAGAATGGTGTAAACAGCTAATAGCAGCCACAATCTCCAGTCAGATCTCAGGATCAGTCCAACCAGACATTGGGAGCAGGGACATCAAGGTAGATAACACACAGCACACACAGACACACACACTGCTGGCAGTGATTCTCATCCATGTGTATTCTGTAACTAATAGGCTGGGAGAAGACCAGACTTCATGGTAAGTCTCGGAGACGTCTCCATGTGAGCTGCTTTGAGTGTGGGCGCCTAGTTTTGTCTGTTAAGTCCATATGAGTGATAAAGTCTGCTGTCATTGTTTAGGGACGCTACTGAGCAAGTTATCGACTGCTTCTGTCTGTCAGCGGCCTGCTCTCTGCAACCACCGCTCTGTAGCGAGGCGCATTTTGGCTCATTCATATTGAGTTTTGTCTGTTAGACCTCAGATCAGGCAGAGGTGTAATGTTCTATGTATTGCACATTATATGCAATGTGCTTTATTAACTAGACGATGCTGCTCATATAGATCTGTTATTTAGCGGGGTTTAGCTGTATTGTTTGCAAGTGTAACGCATCACACTAGACCTGCAGAGAGAGACCAAACTGTGGCCCCTGGTTGTATAACATTAGATCTTTGCAAACGCTGACGATAAAATATGATAAAGCAGTTGTAAAAGTGTCACTCAGCACCTCACTACATCTTCTACAGCTATTACGTTGCACCTGAGCAATAAGGCTGACCAATATTCAGAGAACTGGAGTTTTCCTTCCCGAAACCCAGATTGGAACCAAACTCTGTGCTTATAGCTGCTGAGAACTGTGAGCTGAACAGTGTTAGTTGTGTTATTTCTTTGAAAAGTTGCATTTCCAGGAACTTATCACAGTCTTGAGAAATGTAACCAGAGTAGCACAGACTTCACTGTCACCACTGTGGTATGTACACTGTCTGTGAAATGACAAATAGCTCCTGAATGTAAAAAGACACCACTCTGTGCACATCTAATGAAATGTGTGTAGTGAATTCACCTCCACTGTGTCAGATCAAGCCCTCCGATTTAAGGCTCACTTCATTAGAACAAAGTTAGAAGCGCAGCTTTCCTGCAGCTTGTCTGAACTTGTATCGGCTGTTTGTCACTTGTTGTCTTTGCTTGAATTTTGAGGCTCATTGTTTGGAGGTTGCTTCTGCGCGCTTGTCTCTTTGCATCCTTCTGTTATAAACACAGACTGATGTGCCACACATTAAA